TTACAAATGTTAGATTCAAAGATGGTGAAAAATTTAACGCAGAAAGTTACAATCTTCTGTAATTAACGTACAAACAAATCTCACCTTTGTTCGCCGTGTTTTAATAAATTTCATTAATGTTTTTAAGTATTATATTCTTTTCCTTAAAGCATTGACCGAAACAAAAACCGATATCGCCTAAATTAAATGTTTAGTCTCACAAATGAGCAAGGACCGACACGCGCGCGGAAATAACATCAACGAAAAGTCTGCGGCCGGTCCGTCGGGACCGGCTGGGCACTTAACGTGTTAAAAGAAAGTCGCCCTTTATACAAAAGCAGACTTTCGACAATGCATAGCCGTTGATAAGGCTGAAATGATTCATTAAATGCTTTTCGTAATATTTCAACGACATTTCGCATTTTGTACAAACGATCATTATCATTAGTATGACCAATATCATCGGTGAAATGTAGCATTTGTAGTAATTTGAAATAACGGTCTCTCGTCATTACTTCTCCAAAGATATCGCTACGCAGAAGTTTATCTGTACTCAAGTACTCTGCTAATGATAATTTCTTGTTGCGTGTCATCAATAATGACACAGCAAAAAACAATATAATTCGGCTAGTCCTGTTCCATCTGACATATTTACGTTATTATTATTCTTTCGAGACCAATATTGATTAGTTTCGCTTGCAATCAACTCTACGAGCTCTTCAGAAAGTAAAAGTTGGAAAAAGTCTAAGATTTTTGCGGATCTATTAATATTTCTTTTAATTCTTGAATCCGCTACCGCAAACTTATATATTTTGGGGACGAATGTTTTTAACGTCCATACTTCAGAGTAGTTATTGTCATGGGTTTCAATCTGTTCAGCTTCTGATTCAGAAGTACTACATATAGCTCTTCTATTTCTGTGTCGTTATTATTACATTAATTTGATTTTCATTATCTGGATCACTGTCTGAATCAGTTAAGCCATAAGAGGATGGAATTATTTTCGAGCTTCTCTGTGACATTTTAACAAGGCAGATACAAAAAGATTTTAT